CTACAAGAAAAAGAAAAAGAAAAGCTATTATGCCAGCGATGTCATGTATTTCACCACTGAAAATATTGGGAAAGAGACAATTAAAATGCATTTTGCACTGCAGAAAGAATAAAAAAAAATGTTGTTGTTTCTTACAGTGAACAAGTGTTTTCCTGTCTTCACAGAGACTCCTGCTGTGTGTGTGTGTGTATGTGTGTCTGTGTGTCTGTGTGTGTGTGTGTGATGACATAGCACCTCCACAATGTAAAGACACAACACTTGCATGGACTCTGATTACTGAGGTAAATACACAGCATGGGTGAGGCAACTCGCTGCAGTGTGTGTGTGTGTGTGTGTGTGTGTGTGTGTGTGTGTTGTATATGAAGGAGGCACCGAAGACAATCACAAATCGAGTTGAAGTATCTGTCGTAGTGGGACTGTTTTAGAGGAGCAGGGGTTTGTGGGTAAACATGCTGATGCTGTTTGAAGTGAAACATATTGTTAAACCACATCGAGAGAGAGTTTCATCGTGTGTCATTATGTATTATGTGTTGTTTCATGCTTATTTGTATCGTTTTGTATCCGTGCTGCATCAGCTGTTTTGTGCAGCATCGTAGTGTTATTTGTCGTTTCATCAGTGGTGGGCCGTCAGGGCCAGCTAAGCCTTCTCTGCTGGCCTAAACAGAATCACAAAGTTATAGCTATTTTATCATTTAATAATTTTTCACAAATACACTACATGTACTACATGTATTATCATTTTATTCCCATTAGCTTATTTTCTCATTGCACAGCTCCTGTCTTCCTCTGTTCCTTGTTTTAAGGAGAGCTCTTATCCAATCAGATTCAGCCCCGATGTCTCTATGTAAGGAGAGAGGCTCGATGCCCGCTAGAGAGCCTTTGCAGATTAAAGTAAATGGGGATGATATTGTTGATTGTCATAGTCTTCAACCAATCAGATCTTTAGTTTGACATGTTGGGCGTATTCTTTGACGTGCCACTGCTACCCAGGTAGCCTGCTAAGTACGTCTGCATTAACGTGCGCCGTGATTGGTCAGTGGGCCAGCATGACTTTTGTCAAACAGAAAGCTAGCTAGCAGATCTTAGTGTTTATAAAGAGTTCAGGTTGAAACATATCTAAGAGAGTTATGACATTTTTAGCGTTTTGCTTGGTGTAGTCTTTTTTTTTTACCTGGCTTTGTTTTTTTAACACTCAATGGCTGAAGGAGGAGAATGGATTTGGGAGTTACTGACTTTGTTTCCAAAGAAAGGAGGATGGACTTTGTCTTTAAGTGAACAGCAGCTTTGGTAAGTGAACTGCTTTTGTTTTTACATCTGCAGTAGTGTTACTACTGTGTTCATTTGTCTATCGTGTCGTTTTTATGAATAATATAAACGGCTCGTGCTCTAGTGCTGCAGTGTTGCTGGATTGATTTGTTGCTTTGTTGTCATATAAATATATGTGACGGGTTCTTGTGAGTTTGTTCTTGTTATTGTGTTAATTACATTGATTTGGACTATATGCATTGTCTGTTAATTTCGAAGCATCCCGTCATGCGCGGGGTTATTATCCGGACAATTGAATCTGTTCGGGCTGTTGTTTTCTTTTTACAAAGCAAGCATGATGGTCTGGAGAAATGGGGATTATGTGGCGATTGCTTTACCCTGTCTGAATCAGTAGGGAACAGCTAAACGCTGCGGGGAGAGTTCGTAGATTGTGTGCTGCTGTTGTTTACCCGCTAAACTAGTTAGCTTAGCCTCCCTGAACACACGCGGGGCCTCGGCTGTTTTTTGTTATTGTTCCGGGTTCAGAGGTCACACAGTCCGTTGTCTCCTACATGAGCTCAGTGCACCGAAAACATTATATTTCCCACAATTTAAGTTTCTGCATTTTCCAAATGCACTAGTATTATTTAAACGTATTGTTCGGTTCGTAAGCCTCGTACCGAACGGTTTAATACGAATACGTGTATTGTTACACCCCTAGAAACGAATAATAACCGTAGTTGTGGCGTCAAAATGAGATTATTAGGAGCTGGCTCAAGTGTAGTAGGACAGCACAGAAGGCCCAGGTATAAAACGCACGGCCCGCCACTGCGTTTCATATCATGTCATGTTGTTATGTGTCATATAGTTCTGGTTTATTCACATTTGGCACGTACTGTTTTGTATTATGTCATGTCATTGGTTGTTTATAGCAAACTGATGAGTGTTGAGTTCGAGTGGAATCGACATACAGTTCGAATCGTCTTGTGTGTTTTGTGTGCAGTTTCTTCGGGATGTTCATTACCAGTTCTTCAAGTCAATGAAGGCCGGACACAAGTTACAGAATTCTGCACAGGAGGAGCTGAGCTGCATTTTTTTCATTAGCAAAAATGAAATGTAGCTTTTCATTTAGCTGTACGTTTTGTGGAAACATTGTCTATCTGCCTGTGGGAGGTTTGGACGTCGTGTCTTTGTGTTAACGACTCTGATCAGAGATCCAGGAACTGGTTGAAACTCTGTGGTTTGTGTGCGTCTGGTTTTGCAGGAACACAAAGATGTGAAAACACCAGCACATCATAATAATGACTTCATGTTAATGTGGCTTTCTGCAGAGAGGTGAGACATTTAATAACGCCAACAGCAGCTGGACGTGTTCGCTGTCCTGACAGTTTCTCACTTTGAGCAGATGTGAAGAACAAACTGGATTTAATGTGTAGATGTTCAACACATACATCTCTATTGTAATATTCATCTTTTATGCATACAGGTAGATTCATTCTCTGCATGTTTGAGGACATTTGGTCCAAAATCTTTTGTTTTTCTTTCTTTGTTGGTTTAAGATCTTCGATGGAAATGTTTAAAATGAAGATTTCTATTTTAAAGCAAAACAAAGTGACTTATTGACTACTTATTCTATTTATTTTATAATAGTTACATTTATTCATGCATGAATTAACAGATTGATTTAATTTAAATTGTTTCATAGAAATAATAAAAGTATATAATTATTATAAAGTAATCTTTAAAGTGAACAATAAAACAAATAATAGCTTAGATTAAAAGACTAATTATATCAATTTAACACAATAATAACATCCACTTTGTCTACATTTTTAATAACAATGACAAAACACACAAAAAGATCATTATTCAAAACTATGTACAGTATATCCTTGTACAAAATCCTTTAATGAATTCCTTTTGTATGGGATTTTATATTAGTTATTTAAAGACGAATAATGAAAAATAACTTGTAAAACTTTTCCACCATTCCACACATTCAGTTTAGAACTTTTTGAACGCCTTTAATTCATTCATTTTTCATTCGTTCCTGCATGTTTCTGACTTATTTGATCTTATTTGATATTTAACATCTTCAGACGAGTCCCCACTTTAAACATTTGCTTAAATATAAACCCAGAGATTAGTTTCTCAGTTCCTTCTTTTAAAATCTGTTTGTGAAATTCTCATCTCTGTTAATAATCAGATGAACTAAAAGTCCTTCAATTTAAGAGTAATGACCTTTAATTAAACACAAGTCTTTACTTTCTTCCTTTAATTGAAGCAAATTCTGCATCTTTGTGAAGGCAGATTTAGATCCCCCCACCCCTACCTGCGTCTCACCCAGATAAAAAGCTGCCACTGATGGCAGTACGACACGTTCTCTCGCTGTGCAATAAATCTCTCAGCTGTGTAACACGATCCCGGCGGTGTGATACCTGCTCCGACTCAGATACAGACCTGTTGTCTGACACTGAAGATGAAAAGCGGAATAATTGGCCCTGGACAGACGAACCGCCGGTGTTTGTGTGAGAGGCTGACAGAGCGCTGAATCACCGGAGAGAGAAAAGAAACACACAACTCCCGACATTTGTTCTGCTTCACACTTCAACACGAAGCTGCTGCATCACAACATGATGACAATAAAAACTACAATAGAACCGTACAGAGTTCTCACTTTACTAGATATTGTTTTAGTATTCATCAGCAGAATGTATGTTCTCAAAAGTATTGAAGTAAGTGTTTTACTAGTATTATATCTGATATTTCTGGATTAATAATAATGCTGCATTTATTTGTATACATGTTTGTACATTGCACTTGTCCACGTCACCTTTTTATGTTGTTTCTGTGTCTAGTTTTAACTGTTAATGTCTCGTCTTCTATTCCATAATCATGAATGCTGCAGAAAATATTGCCGAGCTAGAAACGTAACATCAACATGATCTTAATATGTGTAATATGTGTACTGTTTTACTGTAACATACATTATGAAGTCTTGAAATACAGAAGTGACGGCTTTTCATCTGTTAGGATATAATGAAGATTACCACACGATGATGTACCTTTTATTAATAAACCAACCTAAATGTCTGGTCAGGGTTTAAAACGTAAAGGGACCAATCACACCGTTGCGTTTTGACATTTTTCGACAGTATACTAAGACTTTTCATGAAATACTCTAATATCACTTTTTTGGACACACTATACTGTAATACATTTATACTCTGACTTTTTCATCAAAAGATACTAGGACTTTTACTGACACACATTTGTTAGTTACTTTATCGACATTGCGTTCGAACACAAATGCAGCACACTGGATTGTTGGGAGTGACTTTTATTTACAACTTCAGCAGCTAGCAGAGCAAACACGGAGCAACACTTCATTTCAATCCTCAGATTTAGAGTCGCAGGAGTCCTTGGACTAGCCGGGGTTCGGGCTGGGTGAGCGGAACCAGGAGTACGGTACAGAAATAGAAGAGAACAGTAGAAGCAGCATGAAAGTGTTCACAGGACGTCCAAGGATGAGTGCTGTAGAGTCTTGCATGGAAACAGTAAAAGAACATTCTAGCAGCGAGTGAGCGAGCACGAGGGGCTGAAGTACTGGCTTGCTATACTATGTATACACATGTCATACTATGTATAGACATGTTATA